CTATTAGTCCTCAGCAAGACAAGGGACATGAACATTTTATTGAATATATTTATATAACCCAAATTCTCCAAGTGGGCCAGTAGTGGCCAGGTGGTTAAGACGGCTGAATCCTACAGGGCTGACTTGCAGTTTGAGTCTTGGACCTTGTGGCTTAAAAAATATATCCAGTGTATATATGTTCATGCCCCAAATCCCCAGATGAGAATGGAAGAGAAGGGTCTGTGGCATGTCCACCCCCCTTGGGGAGTGCTTTCTCATATTCTCCTCCACCCTCTGTTTCTCTCCAGTAAGTACACACATTCTATAGAAATTTATTTTTTAATAAAAGGAAAAAAATTCTCTAAGAATCAAATTTTTAGTGGCCAAAGTATGAACTTTTACAAACACATCAATGGTTATTAGACAATAGTCCTCTCTGGACCATGTTAGATTTTCAGACATGTATGAACTTTGGTGCATTAGAACATAGTAAAAAGTCATTTCTTATGTTTTCCCCATAAATAAAAACAGAGAATTCACTAAATATATCTGAAATGGTGAAAATTACAATTTCCTATCTTAATCTTCTGAAGCTTATTAGAGAACACAAACATGTCCCTGTGACTTCTTTAAAAAAAAAAAAAAAAAGCATTTCAGGCACCAGCAGTTAGCGTAATGGCTATGTCACTGGACTCCCACGTGGTTGGCCGTGGTTCGCATCCTGGACCCGGTGGCTTAAAACTCACGCCGGGCGCGTGTGCGTGCGTGCCCAAGATCCCAAGAGGAGAATGGAGGAGAAGGGATTATGGCATGGTCATCCCCTGTGGGGGGTGATTTCTCGCTTTCTGTCTCTCTGACTCTCTCTGTCTGTCTGGTGAGTGCACGTGCCCTATAGCAAAAACCTCTTCAAAAAAAAAAAAAAAAGCATTTCAAAAAGAAATGTCAAAGAACATCTTAAATTAGTGTCAAAAGGCAGATAGTCTTTAGTTAAAAATGTAAAAAAGACTTTACTGACATGGTTAAATTACTAGGACTCTCAGTTCTTTAGGGATGGATAAATGTCTGGTAACATTGCTTACAAAAGTGATGTTTACTATTTTTTGAGGTTTTTTGTTTGTTTGTTTGTTTGTTTGTTTGTTTGACTATGGGGCATGTGTGCTTGCCAGAGAGAGAGAAAGTGAGAAATCATCCTACAGGTGGGATAGCCATATTATAATCCCTTCTCCTCCACTCTACTCTGAGGATTTTAGGTATACAAGTGCATGAACCCAGTAATACCATTTCCCAATAATTTTACAAAGTTCCTTCATATTTATTTCCAGTCATATAAATTACATTGAGTATAAAATGCAATTAAGAGAGGCGATGCTCTTATGTTAGATGAGCTGGCAACTACAGAAGTGATTAGTGGGTGGAATAAAATAACAACGAATTAATATTCCATAGATTTCTTAAGTGATTAGTGGGTGGAATAAAATAACAACGAATGAATATTTCCATAGATTTCTTAAAGTAAAACATTCAGTTTGGTTATTAAGAAATCTGTATCAATAAAAAATAGTATCCCCAAGTATTGTGTTACATGAGAAGGCTATGTACACAAAGATAAAAAGACATCAACCATTATGAATTAATCGGACACTATCTGCTCTGGTATTTTTTTTTTCTTTTGAGAGATTTTTTGCTAGACGGAGACATAGTGAAAGAAAGTGAGAAATCACCCCTGAGGGGGAATGGCCACACAGCAATCCCTTTTCCTCCCTACTCTTCCCGGGATTTGGGATAGTCACACACACACACCTGGGGTGAGTTTCAAGCCTCTGGGTCTAGGAATCAAACCTCTGCCAGCCATGTGGGAGTCCAATGCCTTAAACCACCATACCACTTGCTGGCCCCACCAGTTTTGCTGTGATTTTAATTTGTCCAAATTTTTTATGTTGGAACTTAATACTCAACGTAATAGGTTAAGGAGTAAGGCCTTTGAGAAGTGATTAAATAATGAGTTTTCTGCCCTTAAGAATGTGACTAGTAGGGAACCAGCAGTTAGCGTAACGGCTATGTTGCTGGACTCCCATGTAGTCGACCACAGTTGGCGTCCCAGCCCCGGTGGCTTAAAACTCACGCTGGGCACGTGTGCGTGCGTGCCCAAGATCCTGAGAGGAGAATGGAAGAGAAGGGATTGCGGCATGACCATCCCTTCTGGGGGGGAGGGGAGTGTGATTTCTCGCATTCTGTCTCTATGTCTCTCTCTCTGTCTGGCGAGCACACACACCCTATAGAGAAAACCTCTCCAAGAAAAAAAAAGAATGTGACTAGTGCTATTATGAAAGTGGTTGTAGACATTCTTATAGTCCTTTTACTCTTCCACTCTCGGCCATGTGAAGATGCAGCAATAAGGTGCTATTTGGGAAGCAGAGAGTAAGCCTTCACCAGACACTACATCTACTGGTACTTTGATCTTGGACTTCCCAGCCTCCAGAACTATGAGAAATGAATTGCTGTTGTAATTATCCAGTTTGTGGCATTTTGTTATAGCAG